TTGGTCTGATGGTTCCAATCACTGACTCACTTGAACCGGGCACTCAAAGCAAGTGCTTGAGCCGATGCTTCTGCCAGCGGGTCGTCACGCAAGTCTCGTCGACATCCCTCTTCATCAATTGTGGTTTCGACAAAAATGAGCCGAGCCTTCAAGGATTCTGCTCAGGACAGCTGCGTATGATAACGGTAGCATCCATCATCCCGGATGTTTACTGAATGCGAAAAGGGTGAACAGAAGTATATCTTGCAATCAAAGGAACCACAATCCCGCGACTCGAGGAACGCTGAGAGAGTCTGTCGGTACTGAGTACGGCGACCCAATGGCATCAGTGATTTTACATCGAAATCTGGGGTTGATTCGATTCTGGCCGTGATAGCAGCCTTGATTTGGATCTCGCGTTTTTCCTCGATCGACGCGACGACAAAGGAGAGACAGGTGGTAACGATCAGGCGGTATGCTGCTAGGACCTTTCAGACGAGGTAAGGTTCTTGTCGATACTTGAGACAACGATACTGACCTGGAACTCGGAAGACACAAATATTTTCGATGACTCGATATTGTCCGTGTGATACTTGGATGTCGTCACTGCCAACCACATTCCCTGGGAAGTCCAATCGCATTGGGAAAATCGAAAGCATAAGCGATTTTTTAAGACCACTCGTGTTACTTCGGAAAACTCGAAGAAGTTTGTTCCTAAAAAAAACTGTCCGATTAAAGAGCTTGGAGAAGTATACACTGATTTACTTCTTGGTCCGAGTCGTCGTACGTTGGTGAATCTAATATAAGTCTCACAACTTGCACCTTCTTGAGAAGAGCTTTGTATTGCCGAAAATGAAGCAAGTTTCGAGCGTTTTGCGTTAATCCTTTTTTGTTGCATGGTGGTCCAAGGAAAGGAGTGATCGGTAACGTCTTTCTTACGCCGCTCATTTAACTGAAACTCGTCAGCATCAAGGTCCCCCGAGTCAAGTCATCATAGCTGCTTCAATTTGATGCTTGACCGAACAGCTTATCTGAGTTCATGAAGCGCGATAAGAAGGCACTGGTAGTGATACACTTGGTTGTTACAAGACCATTAACGGCGCGTTATATTTGCGGTTCTAACTTTTCAGGTGAATGTTCACGTTGGAATCTAATATTAACACCAGGGAAAGGAAAAGATCTGCAGTGAATACTCACTTCTAGGCGGTAGAGGATTGCGACTCTGCATCCTCCAACAACTTCGCAGGGAAACAATATATTTTCTCTTCTCCCCCTTCATGGACAAACTTATATTCCTTGCCTGGAGCGATCCCATATCGCCAAGGCGTCAGATTGGAAGAATGCGAAGGATCTTCAACTCCCATATCATCCATAGAGAAAGTGATATCTCCTTCGACTTCGGGATCGCCAGGTGTCCTTGGACCAATGATGATAGTGACCTTTTTACCAACAGCCTGGGGTTCGCCCTTTTCGTCAACAAAATCCAACCCGAAGGCGTTCATCGGCTGACCGGGCGGGTGAAACACATTGGAATCCCACACACGAATCCGAAGACTGTCGGTAAAGGGGAACAGTACGGGAAGAGACGTTATTCGTGGGACTGGGGGGATCCTAAGTGGCACTCAGCGTGGATCCCTCAGGCGACAAAGAGAATGTGACGTACCCAGGATACTGGAACATCTGCAAGTCTTTTCATTTAACTATCGTAGTCGGTGGGTCCGATGTCGACACCACTGTACAAAGAGGCGAAGAGCGTGGGAGCCCATTTATTGTAGTAGGCGACAGGATCTTTAGGTGTGAAGATTTCATTGTAGACGGTACCGTCAAAATCTTTATATCTAAGGGTGGTGCCACCAGCCTGGCATGTCAGGATGGCCTGCAGGGACCTTGGTGGATTCGGGAGGAGGCATCCTAGCCCCGGTGGAGTAGCGAGGGTAACCGTGACGGGTTGAGACGAATTCATAACAGCGATGTTGAAAGGCAAGGACATCTTGAGAGCTAAATGAGGTGAGAGGATGAGGTGGCAGTCACTATCACGTTCAAGGTTTAAATAGGTCTGATCGATGTTCTTGTTTTAATTATCTAGAATCGTATTCCTTTGTGGACGCTGTACAACCATTGTGTTTACGTGATGCGCTTCGTACTTCCTAAAGGCAAAGGTATCAAATTTCAAAATATCTTGTAAGGACCCAAATACGCACCCTGAATCTTCCACCGCTGTATCCCAAGAAATAAAGCGCAACTTTTCGAAACAGGAATATCGTCACTGCTCATATCAATATTCGTATGCATACATAATAGACTGTAAAGATCTGGCACCTCGAGAGGAAACAAAAAATTGGCATAGATGGATAACGATGAAGAGAAAAGAGAAAAGGAAATGGTGGGGAGGTAACTAGTGGGAGAGTCACATTCAGAGTCCGCCAGAAATCCATCCCGATATGAATCGGATTCAACCCGCAAACTCATTCAGAGCAAAGAGGTATGTACCGCTGGCTAAATCATCCATTTGTGGTGGGTCCTCCGTTCCGATGAGACCAAATTCCAATGGAGAAAACGGCCAGACCAGAGATCCAAGAAAGATGCTCCGGTTGCATGTATTGTATTGTATGCGAACGACGCCATAACCTTGAGGGCAAAAGAACAGGGAAGATAGACACTGCAATGATCAATCTCAGCTAGCAAGAGCACTTGTCAGCACCGGATAGAAAGCGGGTGTAGATGCTGCCTTACCAGGCCACGGAAATGCTGTCAGCCGGTTCGGTTAATAGGAATGATCTCCGCTGAATACCACTACGGGTCGGGTTCTAACTTCTCTCCTCTGGCGAGTACCCTCACAACTTTGCTGGGCTGAGAAACCATTTCCATCATGGCCAAGACGGCAGGTGATCGCTCAACCATTCCACCTTTCGAAGAATCAATGGCGCCACCGTTGGCCGGGCCCCGACGGCCTTTATTCACAGCAATCCTCTTCGGACGTTCCTCCTCGGAAGAACTGCGAGTATTCCCACTCGGTGCAGGAGCGGCCGTAGGCTTGACATCAATGACTTCGAGACCCGCGCGTGCAGCCCAGTGAGCGACAAGGGACCCACTAGACCGCGGTTCATGCTTGTTGTAACTGTGTTGAGTGGGTGCTGGAAGTGGAACTGGTGTGAGAGCAGACTCTGTAGGCGATTCGGAGAGCTTCATAGGCATTAATTGAGGCGAGAGGCTGTGGGACGTGGCGCAGACGGCCACAATGACCTTCGGATCGGTCGGCTTTGGGGACAGAATAGTGTCCTGAGCATGCTCGACTTTCCCAACGAGCACTGCAAATCGTTCGACGGACCCACTCCGGAGAAACATGGGAGCTGTGCTCCGTAACGGAGTCTTCAGAGAGCGTGCCATCGTTGAATGAAATCTTATCCCAAGGCACAAATGCATCGTCTTGTTGCACTCGAATGCGAGGGTTGGTGCCGACTTGGGCCTCAAGTATTCTGGATGCAGCTCTGGCTCGCTGAGCAAGCGTAGTGGACCCTTTCTTTAGAAGATCAAGAGTATTCAGGGCTAGCAAGGTATTAGCTACAGAAGAACGATAAAAAAGGACAGTAAACGGACCTTCAAGGGGCACAATGACGACCTCCTCCCTTCCGTTCCTACACCACTTCTTCAAGTTGTCCAGCGCATGGACGAGGACGCTAGCATCGACGATGACAACGTCTGCATCCTTCTCGTGCTTCTCTTCGCCTGGAAAGCGCCTTTTCGGTGGTGCAGAGTCCAAATTCCTGCCACCACGAGGTCCGGCGTCTCTCTCCTTCGGTGTCGATATGTCACCACCTCTCCTCCGATTATTGGCCTTATTGTTGGGAGAATTTGCACCGCGCTTCTGCGGTGGTGTTGCCGAGTGTGGTTGTTTTCTGTCTCGCCAGTTGCCTGAGGCAGGCCCGTTCGAAACGACTGTCTTCTCGAGCTGTTCGACCTGGTGGTTCAAGAATGCAGCGCCGAGGGCGCGAGACATTGCTACTTTGTTCGCTATAGCAGTAGGTCCCTGTAAAGAGTATTGAGCGATAGAAATATCAGCAAGAAATGAGTATACTTTTGTGTCCGTCATCGTGGTTCACTTTCAAGGACGGGGCTGCCGACGTTAACGAGGTGTGCTGACACAGCATTACATCACATGATTCAGGGCTGCGGTGAATTTCCATTTATGGGTCTATTCCCCCTCATGACTCCGACTGGCAGCGCATGAGCACTTGCAGGATTTCCATGAACACTGGTGGGGACGCGAATATTATTATTGATGGTATTCTGGAATTGGGAGCTTCTGTCCCTCTTTCTCCCCTCATCCGATATCTGCAGGAGTCTCAGGTTCATTTTTCACTTCTGCTTCGAATCCTTGTGTTCTCGAAAGACGGCATGCAGGAAATCGACCTCGACTGCCGGTACGACTCCTTTAGCTCCCATAGATGGTGTCTCATTGATAGTTGTGGGAAGGTGGAACCCCACTAGCATCCTAACCTCCTCCCTTCATGACTACTCTGACTGCCATAAGTGCCTTGCAGGATGATTATTGGTGGGAAGTAATGAGACCTCTCGCTGAAAATGCTGTTATACACCTTCTAGCTTTCTCAGACCTCCTTATTTTTGCTTTGTTCCGACTCTCAGCTTTTAGTCCGCAAGGGATCATATCTATATCTTCGTCGTTTGCGACATCTCATTATGAGTGCAAGTTTAGCCTTCCAAGGAAGTAACTGTTTGTGACCGACACCTGCAAACAATAGTGGTGACCGTCTGTCTAACCACGATCGTCGTTGCAAGCAAGAATCTCATCTCACTTTCTCGCTTGCGACGTCAAGTGGTGAGAGTGATGGTTACGAGTCTATACAAACTAGTTCTGTAACTTCTGTTGCTAAATGAAAGTTATGTAGAATGACATAACGGTATATATACTATAGTTACTAGTAGTGTAGCTGCTAGGCTCTAGCAACTAATTGAAAGTTCGTATAATATACTAGTAACTCCAATGTTGCGACAAGTAAAACTTCGAATACGGGGAATTGAACCCCGAGCTGCCGCGCACCCACGCATAATCAGGAGTTCATTGTTCATTATAATGATGAGAGGCGGCAATGTTAGCCGTTACACCATATCCGAATTGAAAGGAGCTGTCCCCTCATCTTCTCAAATGACCCGCAATTTCATACCATTATGCTCGGAAATTTCACGTTCACGTTGTGCCATCGCTACAAGTATTAGCCTATAGGCATCGTATCTCCTTGTCTGAAGACTTGTTCGAGTCAGCGTGAGTCAAGTCTATTGATACGTTCTCCGACCATTTACTAACCGTTACATAGTTAAACCTGCACGCTGCAGCAAAAGCTCCGTCGACCATACAAAAGTTTCTGACTCTCAGTGTCTGAGCAAGGATGATATAGTAACTTCACAACATCCGAGCATTTCTCCCAGTGAAATCTCCGCAGTGATGCAGAGTTAACCGCGCGCACAATAGAAGACGTAAACTGCGTACGCCACAGTCCAGTCTCCCGACCCGTGGAAAATCCAGCAATTACCAAAAGTTTTGTCATCGAGGTTCATAAATGGGGTTTGTCGTCTGTCCGACATGTGGCCCTTCCTTTTTTCCTTCGGTTAGTTGACTGCTACGTGTGAGGAGCTCACCTGTGGGCCCCGGACGTCGTTGTCCAAGATGGACTGCCCAGGAATACACCGCCATTGCGTTCAATGTATATGCATCGCGATATGCAAGCAGTAAGTCGTTGCTTCGAAGTGTGTTTGATATTTTCATTTTGATGTTCATATCTCAACAGTTGCCGGCTACGTGGTAAGCTGCTTTACCATTTATGCGGCGAATGGGATGCTCATTGGGTCAGCTTATGCTCTACGACCACATATTGACGTTCGACGAGGAGGTTAGGTTCATATGGGCGGCTCCATGGACGCTACCGAAGACACTCTTTCTTATCATCCGGTATTTCGTTCCTGCCTTCGTCCTTATCCACCTCTGCCGTAAGTTGCTCCTGGATCAGTCTACGGTCATTCAACGATTTGACGTGTGAATAAAATTTGCAGAGCTGACAGGACTGAGCACTTTCTCCGATACGGTGGGTACTTCCTTCGGTTTAACATGCTATACTGACGGCTCCTCAGTTGTAAGTCTCATCGGTTTTCACGATCTCCGAACTGATACTAGTAACGGACTAGTTGTAAAGTCTGGTTTAATGTATCCGTAAGTTTCGTCTCCGTTGTTGAACAGGGCTATCTCTGATGTACGTCTGTAGGCCTCCATGGGTATCATCACCATCGCCATAGGAAATTGTAAACCGAACTTGCCACCTATTATTGATTCCGTTCTCATCCGTCGTATGCAGTCCTGGCCCTTATGCATATATGGAATCTCTGGGATAGAGACGGGCGACTAATGATCTCAACCTCATGTCTATTCGTGGCAACCCAGATAGCCAACATCATCTGCCTGACATTCTCCCTTGTACATATCACCGGTGCGTCCTAGAGCAGGTGGGTTCTCAAACTCAATCTTATCTCCGTTTCCCATTATCAGAATCCGTCTACTTCAATTCCACTTTCTCAATGTGCATGCTCACGGACCGCCACTCGGCCGGAATCATTTGGGTACCAGGGGTAAGTCTGCCATATTCTTGCTCTCCTGAAATTTCGGTCTGACGCCATTTTGGGTGATAGGTGGCGTTCGAAGCTGTCATATTTTCCGCTCTATTCTGGAACGCGCTATCCCGACCTCGATATCTAGAGGATGATTTCACCAAAGTCCTTTACAGAGATGGATTTGCGTATATTCTGGTCAGCTCATGTCTCTATTCGCACGGAATGCAATGTTTTAATCACCTTTCTATTCCACCTAGGTTGTCTTTGGTTAGTCCTTTGAGCCACGTCTCTGGGTCTTTTCGTTGCCATGCTAAGCGCCGCCTCAGTTCTTCGATTAATGAATCTCATTCTATCTTTTGTCGCACCGGTAAGACGTCGTCCATCGGGTCCGCTCTATGTGCTCACAGCCCTGTTCAGCTCTCTCTTATTTTTCTGGGAATATTGTGCGTTTATCTATTCTTCGCGTAACGGGGCAAACGAACATTGATCACAAATAGTTTTATCTGGTGTTCGACCACCATGACAGTGACACGACTGGTTCTCAATGTCGCTGGGACGGCCGAGAAAAGGGCTTTGCATATGTTTCAGATCGAGCTAGCTCAGTATGAGTACACTGATGAGGATAATGAACCGTGAAAGTGAAAACATTCAATAATGAGGCTTGAGGTACCAAGCAGGACAGGATACCATGTATTTAGTTGCCGGCTAGCATAAAATAATACCCCGTATTGTTCGGTATATATTGATAAAAATGTATTTTAGAGGTCCTGGCCTGACGATTATGTGTGAATGAGGATAATAAGCAAAGGCTTGCTGGTGGAACAATAATACTATTACAAACTGATGTACGTGGGTGGATGGCAAGCAACAGTTGGCATAAGTTTAATGAATGAATGCAAATGCAATGCGACGAAAAAAACAGAAACTCCGGGAAGGAGGAAGTCATATATGTTGAACCGACCAATGCGAATGGAGAAACAATGGGACAAGGCGCACGGAACAAGATGGCTGCATTAGGCATCTGGGCTGTAGCTAGCGAAGTAAGGATGTTGCAAAACACGTTTGGCTGTGCAGGGATGTCAGACAAATTAGCAGATGGGAGGTGCAATTTATGCACACACCTGAGATACGCCTCGCAGAATCGTAAGCGAGAAGACGCTGATCGTTTCAAAATTTATCAAAAGATAAGCTTGATGAGATAGGGAGGAATCAACTGACTCTAAGAATATCAATCCCGGCGGGGTCCAGATCGGGGACGAGCCTAGAGATATCTTGGACGCCCCAACGGGGGAAAGTGGCCTTGTAGTCAGGGAGATTGGAAACGCCAGGCCACATGTCTTCGTTCGGAGTGCCCAAAATTCTAAGGCGATGCGCCTGTTAGACTCGCAAGTAACAAATTTCCGAGGAGGGGTACCTGAAAATCTTGAAGATTTGATCGATTTCAGAGTCTCCTGGAAAGAGTGGCTGTCCTTGACAAGCCATCTCGGCAAAGATGGCTCCGACAGACCACATATCGATAGCAGTTGAATAATGACGGGAGCCTAGGAGAACTTCAGGGGCCCGATACCAAAGGGTAACAACCTGGCGAGTAGCATGGTTAGGAACACTTGATGACTGAAAATAACGCCTGTCTTACCTCATGGGTATATGTTCGCATGGGTATTCCAAAGGCGCGAGCAAGCCCAAAGTCAGCCAACTTGAGATTATTGTGCTTGTCAATGAGGAGATTCTGGGGCTTCAGATCTCGATGGAGGATCCGATGGGAATGACAGTAGAGCAAACCGGAATTCAGCTGGTGAAAAAATTTCTACGACCAGAATGTATAAATTAGAACGCGTGACAGGAGGCAGAATGAAGGAAAAAAGGAACGCGTCTGAGTCACGTGATATTGTTCCGCAGACAAGGAAAGCTACCTGTGGAAGTAGGGAGACTCCAAGGGGCAGCGCAATAGCTCCAGATATAGGTAGAACAAGACGCCTAGGAGTCGTACCGGAATCAAAAGCAGAGATAAATGGGCGGGCAAGGACAGCGCCCGTCACCCCTGGACAGTCATTCCGGCCGAAATCTCGCGTCAGACGCGTCGAAATTTTCGTATCGGGCGTGTCGGATGGATACGGCGCTCACAAAGTCATGAAGGATGGTGGTAACTGTACCTTGGACATTTCCAGCGTAATAGGAGTATGGTTTTTGTTGGCAAGGTCCATGTACCGCTTCAGGTCGACGTCGAGGAATTCGAATACCAGATAGAGCTTCTGGTCAGCGTGAACGATGTCAAGAAGGCTGGATAAGAGACTGAGAACTGATAATAGTGAGTTAGGTCTTGAAACGTACCGAACGACATGGTCGTCCTTGAGCTCCTTGAGGAGACTAATCTCCCGGATGGCGGTGCTGGGTACGCCCTCGTCCTCGGCCTCGAGCCTGATTTTCTTGAGGGCGACTATCTGATTCGTGCTGGTATCCCGGGCCTTGTATACAACGCCGTACGTGCCTGCCGGTCAGAGGTCGTCAGCGGAGCATTCATCGATAGAGCAGTGTCGTACCTTCGCCTGCAGCAACGCCCAGCCCGGAATCATCAGCACCTTCGGAAACGAGTACAACGGTCGCCACGCACCGACTTTCTCTACCTTAGAGTATCTGGCAGTGTCTTAATCAGTTCCAGTCCGGTCTCGATACTGCACGGCTGCTCACCGTTCCATTTATTGGTATCGAGTGCAGGTCCTGGTATCGAGCTCAACGTCGAGCTTTGCGGCGAGAGATAGAGCGAGCTGAGCGCTAAAGCGGACGATGAGGAAGGAAAGCAACGGAAAGATACAGGGAGTGCATGGAGGAGTGGTGTACCGCTTTTATGCGTCAAATTATTGGATCTTGATTGATGACGTAATTTATAGGTATTGCATTCATTGTACCCTAGCTTTTCTGCCGTCTGTGTACGATATGATTACATCTCTTAAGCGGTGTAATGTGCCACACAAATCGCACCAAGATAGCGACGTCGATTTGTGGCAAAAAAACGTACAATACTGTGCGACAAAGTGCACCTCATGCCAGGCTCGTGGTTAATATCACCACACAATGGATCATCAGCTCCCTTCAAGGACCGTTGGCATGCCGTCGTCCATACAATATCCGTCCACTACGTTCGTCTCCCTGCACAGTGCGCGGATTCCGGATCCTCTGCGCTCAGCGCTCATCACTGACATTTTACAAATAGATGTGATCAGAATTGTGGCACTCATTTATCCATGGATCTTACTCACCAGAATGTACAACTTGTAGGCCTTGTCGTACTCATCGGTAGAGCAGTGAACATAGTAATATAATGATGCATCGTCTAGCGCCTAATCGCACCTGCTCCAGCATGTTTCTGAACTTTAATTCAAGTGCTGATTGAGAATTTCAAAGCGACGGCGACGACGAATGACATATCTTCATAGCCTTTCCTCCGCATTGACCCACCGGCTAAGTCATCATGTTCAAGTCCAAATGTGTCACTTATGACTTTGGCAAGCATCGTA